TTGATGGACTCAAGTGTGGCAGCGGTAGTGAGGTTGGCCCAGGATCGGACATTGTTTCGTTCTGCTGTGCATGGGGTCGCTATGAGTTGGTTCCGACTCGATGGCACTTGACAACAACAACAACAAGAAAGTTGGAAATAGAGATACCTTATGATCCAGCAGTTCCTCTACTTGGTATTTATCCTCAAGAAATACGAGCCATAACAGGAGTAGATATATGCACACCAATGTTCATAGCAGCACTATTTACAATAGCAAAAAGATGGAGACAACAAAAGTGCCCATCAGTGGAAGAATGGATAAACAAACAGAAACATCACCATAGAAAGCTTGTAAGTCTGTCTTCTGCCTATAACTGATTAGAATACCTAAACTGGGGTTAGAACTTGCCCAGTGAAGGAGGCTTCCTGTGTGGAGCCTTTGCATTGCATAAGACCATAGGTGGAATCCTGATCCCCATCCAGAATTTTCTGAGGTGGGAAATTTCCACTTGAAAGGACAAGCAAACCAGCCTGGAGCAGCTAGAAAAAACAAAAGGTACTTCTTGAAAGAAAGACCAGCAGGAAAAAGAAAAAACAATAAGTGCAGTCTGATTGACTACTACAACAACAACAAGCAAGTCATTCCCCTAGGAGTCATCAATGCAACTAGTCAGGTCCCCTCAGCACAAACCCCCTTCCAAGACTAAAAATCAAGGGGAATACACGAGCAGGCATGTGGGCTTGCTGCTGACTACATTGGTCACCGATAAGGGGAAGTGGGGGAGAACAGCAATGAAGTTGTGAGCTAAGTCTGACCACACTCAATAGACTCCTGTTAACCTGCATTGAGACCTGGTAGGCCAGCAGTAAGATGAGACCTGGGGACTCCTAGGCCCAGGGACAGGGACATGGCCATAGAGGACCAGAGCAGAGTGTGAAGCAGCCAGCTGATTTGAAGTGAGAAGAGATGCACAAGAACACCCATACTTGCAGATAGTACCCGCTTGACCTGGCTTCAATAGCTGGATGATCAGAACTCGACTAGAGGAAGAAAGAAGAGGAAAAAAAGAGTAATCTGCTACAATTAGATGAACTTGACCTATGCTTGTTGATGCAGTAGGTCAAAGGAGGGAACAAATCTTTACAGCAAGGATCATTCCCACCACTTTGGTGCACGGGGTCAACAAGGATGGCAACTTAGATATTGGCTACCCAAAATGGGGGCTACAAAGGCAAGAAGTGACTGGCTTACATGCTTTCAGTAGGAAACCTAGCTCCAGAGGGTTCAGGAAAATGTAGAATCTCCACTGAGTAGTTTGCAGCCTGTCTGGACGGGGCTGATGCAGGGAGATTGGGATAAGACTCTTGTGGTTCAATAGTGAATGATTGCTATCAGGACTGACTGTGAGTGTTGGAAAGGTAAAGGTAGACATTTTTTAACCAAAAGGAGGGGAGTGGTAGATTTTGCAGTCCTAGAACTATCTAGGGAGAAAAGCGAAGTGCAGGACCCTATTCAGAGAAGCAGTGACACCAGAGATGGAAGCAGAGAGGATGATGTGGAGACATGGAGTGACTGGGGACTTTACACTTAGGGAGGGAGAAGGGCTATGTGCTGACATTCGGGGGTAAGGCTTGCTGGTTATACCCTTTGGTTGTTTGTTGATGCATGAAGGGGATTGTAACCATGGCAATGAAACTAAATAAGGTAGGATGAGTGTAAAGCTAATGTTCTCCCATGTAAACTATCACATAATTCATAACAAAAACTTAAATAAATAAATAGAAAACTTAAAAAGACCCTTATTAAGTGAAAATACTGAATTAGTAAGAAATAACTTCCCACTAAGAAAAGCTTGGGCCTAGATGGCTTCACTCATGAATTTATCCAATCTTTAAAGATATATATAAAGAATTAAATAAAGAAGAATTGGTATCTGTTATTCATAAACCTTCAAAAAAAAATCAGGAGTGAGGGTGGTGAGAACACTTCTTAACTCATTCTATGAGGCCATATTACCCACCAGTGCAACTTCAGAAGCTGACCTAGAGTCACTATCAGTAGGAACTGAGTCGATGGCATTTAACAACATCAACAAACTCAGACAAAAACATCATAGGAAAAAAATATAAATTCATCTCCCTTAAGAATATAGACATACAAATCCTGAACAGAATGCTAGCAAATTAATTTTTTTTTAAATTATGCATCACGACCAAGTGAGATTTTTCTCAGGAATGCGAAGTTCATTTAGCATCTACCAAACAATTATTGTAATATATCATATCAATAGAATACAAAAATAAAGCCACAAGATCATCTCAGTATATGCAAATTAAAGTATCTGACAAATTCC